TCTTCTTCTTCTCTGTCCTCTCTTCTTTGGTCTCAGGTCTTCATACTTCACAGACTTTGGACAAACTATCTTCGACCTCCTCGTTTGGTTTCATGTGAGTTTCTTCTTCATGAAGGTAAATGGATCAAATGTTTAACTTGAGGTTTATTCTAGTTTTCATTCTTTGTTTTCTTGTTTTTGTATTTCTGCAGGTTTCCGAGACAAAAACAAACGATTGGGAACTCGACAGGACAATGATGAGACTGACGAAGGTACAATTAACGTTTTTATTTCATCCAATGTGTTGAAATGGTGATGGAAGCGTTTTAATTACGACTTAATAACGAACAAGAGACGATGATTTCAAGAGAAAAAATGATCCGTGAAATAAAATCATACATTTGGACAAAACATGAAGAGTGAAGATGCAGAGATGTGGAGTAAAAAACAGAAGATGACAAAGTGCAAAAAGAAATAAAGGAATAATAATGGAGGAAGAAGAAAACTTGAAAAACCAAGAGTTGAAAAGAAAGAAGAAGAAAAGAAAAGGGAGAAACAGGAAAGAAACAAAAGAAGGAGCCGAGTGTGAAAACGAGCCGATCAGAGGAAATGCCTTCGTAACCTTACATGAAATTAAAAAAAGTTTTTTCATTTTTTTCATCATTTCTCAAACTTTACAAACCAAAATCTGATTTGTACGAGCGTCGAGTGACAGTGAAGCTGCACTGATCACTTGTTTTTGCCACTTGGGGGCAGTAGAATAAGTCATGTGACATGTTGTGAGTTTATCATGAACTACCAGTTGTGTATTTCCACACACGTATGTTAAAGAGCACAGTCATCACGTGTGGTGTTCCTCAGGGTTCTATTCTTGGTCCTGGATGTTGTGTTGATGTTGTGTTATTTCTGTTTGTCAGCAGAATACACAACACTGACATTTTAATCTTATTATTTATAAAGTCAATAATCATTTTCTGATTTTTTTCTGACAAATGACCGAGAATAATATTTAAATCTCTTATTTAATTTAAAAGTAAAAGATTTTTGCATATGAACAAATCAAAGTGTGTTTAATGAACGAGTCCAGGGGTGAAATCGGTTGAAGGTTCAGAATCAAACGTCTCTGCTGGCGTCAGGAGTCGGTAACGTTCTGTAATCTGATCAGCTTAGTCCTGAGACCTGGACCTGACGAGCGCCAGCGCCTTCGTCCGACCGCTCCGCTGAGATCTTTTGGTTTTTTGGCCGAGAGACAATCTGATCAACTGAAGTTTCCTCCAGCGTCTCTCCGTCTGTGATGTCATCAAAATAAAACACAAACGTCATGAAATGAATAAAAGACGAGAAATGGAACATGGAGGAGCTCTGCCCCCCCCCCCCCCCCCCCCCCC